GCAGTTTCGAATTAAGGCGAAGCAACTGCTGGAACAGCAAACGCAAGTAGCGTTTACTTAAGACGAACGAGAAACTTTGCCGAAATCAATGAATTTAAGAATAAATCGATCAAAGTTTTTCCAACAATTTCCTCGATGAATCTCGCCATAACTTACGAATGTTCTTGAATATTCGACTGATAATAAACAGAATTATAGCAATCACCTGTGAATCTTCGCCGGTATCGATCGAATATTAAATTAAAAAAGAATCAATACAAATTTTTATTACTAAAAAATGTTTATTATTCTGTGGATTAGATTGTAAATTTCCAAAAAAAAAAAAAAAAAAAATCACGTTTTACTTCTGCGGTTTTCGTTCGCATAAACACCTGCACCGCACGCGAAAGGGGTGCATAAAACGTGTCGTCGTTTCGTTAAAACGACATCCAACCGTAAACGACGAGCATCGGGTGTCCATGGTGCGTTTGGGAATTAATATTGTTCGAATCGCGTTTTAATCCCAGTTGGGTTAATTGGAAGCGCGTTGGTGTGTTCGGTTGTTAGGCCAGCGTGCCACGTTCCCGCACAGAAACCGTGCTACATATTTCAGCGAGTTTAATGAGTACACGAGGAGAATAGGAATTAATAGGGCGGAACGGGATAACTTTTCTTGCCATTAAAAATTACAGCTGTTTGCGAGTCTCTCCGTGAGCCGCCAGCCGAGTGCTTTCTGACAGACAAACCCGTAAGCTTCGGTTGTCGTCGATTCGTTTCTTTTTTAGCAAATAAAAAACATGCCTTGCAATGATGTTTGAAAAAATAGAAATTTTTATTCGAAAATTGTACAGGATTGCTGGGTCGTATGTATACACGTGGCGGATAAAAGAAAATGTGAAATCGAATAATCGAATAAGAACGATCTATTGGGTTGGCGACTAAGTGATTGCGGATTTTGTCGATATCACCTAATGACAAAACCCGCAATCACTTAGTCGCCAACCCGATATTAACAGATTCAGCAACAATGTCAGATTTTAGCCGCAGAATTGAATTGTGCGATGCTTTGTTAATGCTATAAAGAGCAGTTCGATGGAAATGATTTACTAATAGAGTGGCGACAATTAGAAATTTAAGACATGGGTGAATCTAGGTCAGAGTTATAACGAAGAGTTAGATCAAAACGAACTACTAATAAATTCATGGCAATTAGCCTGTTTTGATTCCAGTTAGCAATTCTGAATTTCTGATGAGTCTGCGCGCGGTACATAGCAGAGTTTTACATATTAAAGCTAATGGTACGCGATTTTGGCATAGATGAGTTGTATAATAAAACACCATTGGATATCGATTTGAGACACCAAAATTATTTAGTAGCTTGAGAAGAAAAAAAATTGGATTCGAAAGAATTAGAGATTTGCGGCTCTCACAGACGGGAAAAATATGATTTAAGAAATATAATGCCTAAATAAATTGTATTTATCAATTTTCAAATATATATACCGCCGCTAGAATATTATTAATTTACCGCTAAAAATAACAAGAAAGATAATTCGTTCATTTAGTTATAAACTGTCTTGTATCAGTTTCTATATACGTTTTATTTCCATAATATCGGATTTTTGTAATCGCATGAAAGTACCAGCAAATGATAGGAGATTCAATAGAATTCGATCAAATTAATAAATGCAACAAGAAACGCGGTGGTGTACAAATGCATTTTGTAGCCACTTTACGTTCACAATTCCGTGATATCAACCTCGAATACTTGAACTCTCGTTCATTAAGACTCGATGAAATTATTGTTGCCACCCGGTTAAATCGTCTTTAGGACGAAGACTTTCCTAAGAAGACACTGGCGATCTCATAAAAGATTTCAAGTTCGCCGAACTGGAAAATTAAATCGCAGATAAGGCATTTTATGACGAAGGTTGTCGCAGTTAAGACTGTGGTGTTTCCGCGAGTATTTCAGTCGATCGAGTTTCTCATTGGATCGAGAATAGAACGATTCGATCATCCGGAATGTTTCTTACAGTCTCGTTACAATTATCCACTTTCGTTTGACACTTATCGTATTTTGTATTTGCAGGCGATAAAAGTAGAAAGAAAAAAAAATGAAAACGTAACGCGAAGTGTGGCAAATACGTTGAATCAACCCAGGCAAATTATATTTTATTAAAAAGCTGCACGTTTATCGTTCTACTGGCGAGGCACGAAATTTGCAGAACGAGATTTCGTAACTAGGTGAATTGGAACTACACCGATGACAGTGGCTTGGATTCCGTAAAAATGCAAATATGAAATTCCGTGAAACATTGGCAGGGAGTTTTGACCTGGAAAATTCAACGACCCAATTTATCATTTGAATTTTCCCACGGAAGGCGTCAGGATTTGGATGTGGAAAATTATCCGCATTTCATTGTCTGCTTCCTTGTTTGTCTACCGTTTTCGTGTTATTTCGTTGTTTGCTTGAAATTTTCAAGAATTTATCGCAGTAGCTATTTTTAACTGGCTGTTAAACGTTTGAAACTGCGCGATGTAATTTATTCTACGCGTGGGATATTTATTACTATCCTCGTACCAACTATTACATATTTATTTCTATCATCGTGTTTAACAGCTATTTTAAAAATTAGGAATAAAGCATAGTTTAATCGATTATAAATATATAAAATTAGAAATAAATAAATAAATAAATTTTTTAAATGTTCATATTAATCAATACAGATCTTCCAATGGTTAATATTTATTTCTGTCGTTGGGTATCATAGAAATTTCTTTAAGTTAAGTTAAGTTAGACGTTTTTTAATATTCAATTAGACACCTGTATTTTACAAGCTTCCTCGAGCACGCTTGATTCGGTAAAAAATAATTTCCTTTAGAATATCAACTCTACAGAATTCTTAATAATTCAATTTCAAGTTGCCACAATTTAATTTGAAATTTGTTTCAAACTTGCGTAAAGGAAGGAAACGTTGTATAATATTTTCCCATTTCTTACGAGAATCTATTTTAAAGCATCCCTTTGTTCGAAATGCGATTGCGATACAAAAGAAACGATCCTATTCCGAATGAGACTTCCAGTAAGAATTAAACAAACTTAAGAAAGTAACGACGAGCGAGACGCATCATCCTACGATATTTTGTATACTTTTATTCTTGCCTTTTTATTTTTAATTTCGTCTTAATGCTGGCTTGATCGTAATTAATACTTAGCGGCCGACACTGTCCCGATAAAATTTGTAATAAAAGTTTGCCATGAGATACATGCAGATAAAATATTTAACATTGGATAGCAACGATATCCTTGAACTCATTTTCTGCAAAACTTTTCAGAATAATGTTCTTGAAGTGGCTGCCGGTTCTTTGTATTTCATAGATTTTAAAAGCACTTTTATAAGGTAGCCTTCTACACGCATTCAGTTTCTACGATCCTTGTTGGAAATACACGAGCGAAGAAAGAGCTTTATGTTTCGTGTAGCACGAAAAGCCCGTGAAATTCCTGTCAATGGTTTCATAAACGAGTTATTGGAAAACAAAAGCTGTTTAATGCGTTTTTCTTTCCCATCTTTTTATACGCTCGCTCTGATCTAATTGATGCCTCATACACTATAAATTATATAATAATTCGAAAGAATACTTTTCTACTTCCTCTTTTAAAACCAAATTATTAAACCAAATTACCACGTGCGTACATCGAGATATCTTCTATTCTATATATAGTATCGTGGACAAATGGCTTAAGAAATATCGGGTGAACCATAAACAATGTTGCGACAAAGTCTAAGTGCCGACAGGCCTGTCAATGTGTCGTCGGTCCTTCGGTCGAATAATTACGCGGAAAAAAGCCTACGTGACCATGACTTCGGACAAAGGGATGCTTAACACTTTGACTGCCACGTTGGTCATAATGACCGGCCGCGGTTTCTCCTGTGACGCAATGGTGGTCATCGGTGATCGGAGGGTTTGAATTTCTTACAATTGTAAAAATTGAATGAAAATTGACAGTTAGGGAATTTTGAATATAACCGATAAATAGAAGATACTTTGAAGTAAAAAGTGCCCCATTGGACGATTAAACATTTTTATTAGAACATCGATAAAAAAAAAAGAGTACAAATCTTGCATCTAACGGTGCACTGTGTTTGCGTCCATATCTTTGAGAGGTAATCTACGAATATTATTATAAACACAGCTTAGAAAATAATCGTAAATGCTGCTTTATAATCGTATAATTGAAGTTACAATTGTGAACATACCTTGCTATTATATATAGAACGAGCAAATACTGTTTACTAATATCTTCTACACGTTTCAATAATATATTCCGCACGTTTTGCTTACAAAGAAACAACGAAGGCGAATGGTTTGTTGAAATAAACGAAGCCTCGTTACAATATGTCGCTATCGACTGTTACCAAGGTGCCACGGTGGTCACCCGCCCAAGGCGCCACGGTGGTAACCCGTGACCACCAATGAGATAAACGGTCCATTAGGGAAGAACGTGGTCTTACATCGTCAATTTATTATTATTTCGCCATTATATGCTTTGAATAATAAAAATACTCCCGTGGCGTCCTCAGCGAAACACGTGATTTCGGTGTGGCAGTCAAAGTGTTAAGGGAGAAAGACGAATTAACAGTCAGCAGTTGAGTGAGAAGTCGGCGTATTGTCGAGGAGGATGGTGCGCGTGGAAGAGAGCGTTGGAACCGTGGCGACGAGAGTTGTAAATTAACTATTTAATTGTCTTAGTTATAGCACATTGTCGTATTGAATTCACGTTAAATAACCATCGTTTCCTGTTTAATATTTCTGAATAAATAAGAAAATCCTACATACATAAACACCATTTCGCCTTGCGGAGAAAAAGAATCCCGAAACACTCTGAATAACGCGTGTAAAACGCGTATGAAACGCGTATAAAATGCGTGTATAACGCGTATAGAATGGAATGCCTGGATATCGCGTGTTTTTACGCGAATCGTAACCCGGCATCGATTGTTTCGTCTTAAGTGTCTCACCTTCGAGTACATGAGACTGAGAGGCAGGCTCATGGCGATGCTTAGTACCCAGACGAAGCTGATTTTCAGCATGACCCGCCGCCTGGTTTTATTCCGGCCGAATTTCATCGGGTACCGTAGACTCAGGTACCGGTCCACGCTTATGGTGCACAAGTGCATGATGCTCGCCGTACATAATAATACGTCCAGGCAGATCCACGCGAGGCAGTAAACTGACGGCAGAGGGAAGTATCCTGTAATAAAAATGAATGTTGCTCTATTAGACGCGCTGATTATGCAACTCTATTAAATTCAAGCGTCAGATCATATGCACTTTGCAATATTTTCCTTCGCTACTCGCATCAGCGCAAATTTACCGCGCCAACGTTCTTGTCTCTTAATTAGATTGTTTACGAGTAGTTGTATACGATTAACCAATATCATCGTAATCTACACACCGCGATTAAATTATCTCTCGTTAGGCGTTAGAATTTCATTGTAAAGTCCAGTATACGATTCTATGTCGCATCAAGGAGGAGGGATTTTCGTGTGAAGACGATAAAGGCAACCGAGTTTTCGAAATTTTTGTTAGACTTAGAATTTTTGTTACTGGTTATATAGAACTAGACTCTCTTGAGATATAAGTATCGTGGATATAGCCGTGAAGTAGAAATGTAATCTTTTTATTTTAATTTTTTTTTATTGTCTACTGTATAGCGTTTGTCATGGACATCCGAATGCAAAGGTTAAGAAATTTTGCTAAAGTCAGGTAGTTTACGTTGGGATGGAAGCAATTTTTTGGAGAGAGAAACATGGAACATTGGAAAGTTGCAGCGTTTAGAGGGGAAACGTACTTCTTTTCCAGCAGATAAATAGAGTTGACGTTGTTTAGAAAAGTATTATGAGTGAATAATCGAATAAAAATTGTTCCAATCCCCGGAGAAATTTGCAACAAGATGAATCAGCTTCGTTCGAAATTGATTGATCAATTAGTTTTCCAGTTATCGTGCGCGCCAGTTTGAAAAGTTATTAAACGTGGCGGTATTCAAAAGTTAATAAACCGCAACAAGTATAAATAAATAATCGAATGAAAATTTTGTTCAATCCCTGGCGAAATTTGCAACAAGGTGAACGCGCTTCGTTCCAAATTGATCGAACGATTAACTTTTTTAGTTATCGTCTACGCCGCAGTTTGAAAAGTTATTAAACGCGACGATGCTATTAAAAAGTTTATAAACCGCAAGAAGAATAAAAAAAAAAATTACATTCGTCCTTGAGGATCATATTTACAGCCGAAAATGACTATGCAGCGGTCGGCCCAAAAAAAGAAGTTCATAAGGTCACTTTATCACTCCCCTGAGATTCTCAACACGAATTCACAAACGTTCAAACTTTCTCGCTGTTTTACCGCTAAAATCACGTTTCTTCTGAAAGCTTCGCGAGCCAAGCTGTACATTCCAACGAAACCAATCTTCCAGAGATCTCAACGAGGATTTTCCCCGCCGGGAGCAACGGCGCAGCCACTCGACAAAATATTTGACGAGCAATTAGGAAGTTCGAATCCGGCGGCTGTGGGTTCCGGCGCCCGCTGTCCGCAAAAAGCGCAAGCTACGCGCCAGGATTGATCGGAATCTCAGTGCGACGATGGCACGTGTGATTTCTCGTTCCGTGTTCGCGAGAGTTTCCGGCGGATCGGATTTCCGGGATCGCTCGGCGCGCGAGCTTCGCTTCGCCCACTCTCGCTTAGCTTTCCACCCTCGCGTTACTCCCCGCCCGCGTTTACTCGCTCAACTTCACCCTGATACTCGCCGTTTTTCGCCACTTTTTACCTCCACGCGGCACGCGAACCGTAAAATAATTTACTGTTAGCGAAATAGTTGGCCAGTTTGCTACAACGAACATCGACTGTCAACGTATCTCGTAGCGTAGATCGATTTTCTTCGAAATTTCCGCCATATTTCCAGTATATTATTCGTTGAAGTAACTACTTTAAGAAAATTCTACATCTCTATTTACGTATATCAGTGACCTGGAGACTGCTATTACGCAGAAATATTCTAAATAATCTATTTGCATCCAAACGCGAATTAATCCGCGCGCTACGACTGCTTTTTATTTTATTCGCTAAGTACTCTTCAGATGTGAGAGATCACGTTTGACCCGTTTGCCAGCATCTCGCCTATATCAGTTTATTATTTTCTAGACAAGTCTTACTTTTGTTGTGAAAATCTTTTTAACTGCCACTAGGAGCAAGTACTGTCAATCTTAATTAAATTTAACAAATTCAAGTGTAAAAAATATTCTAATTCTATAATGTAATTTACATGTAATAACATTATGTATTGACCATTCAACTTCCTTTTTAATCTAAATAATTTTTTTTAAATAAGTAATTTTTACTTTTTCCTCTGTCATAAAGAATATAAGATACGATGTTTGCGAAGTAACATTGTCTACCAATCTTTTTGAATAGTAAATTTTCGATAAACTCCATGAAGAATTTCAATGTCATTTACTGCACCTACGACCGATCGCGCGCGGTGATAGAGACTCGAAGAAAAACTCTACATCTTTATTTACGTATATCCATGACCTAGAGGCTGCTATTACTCCGAAATATTCTAAATAAGGAGCGGTGTATGTTATTGTATCGAGTAAACATTATGTTTTGGGTTGCAAGGTCTAGGAGCAAAGGAACTAATAAACAGATTTCTATTTATGTTCCCTGTAACCTCCAGTCAAAGCTACAAGCTTCGCTTTTTTGGTAATGTCCTTTTGCTATAAATATACGAACGTACTACCTATCATTCCATTGTCTAGTAACACTAGGAGAGTAAGGATGTGAATCAGCATAAACTTATACATTATACTTATACCTTTAATTATTTCAATATACTTTTCTATTACAAATTCATCCACTCGTTGTTCAGTCAACCTCAACCTCAACATTATCTATACGCGGGTCGAGTTTTACAAAAAGTTCAAGCCTTACCGAGATGAAGATCTTCGTTCTTAAAGTAGAAACTTTAACGCGTAGTGGCTACAGCGAGCCGCTGTAAAAATGATTTGTCGTTTAATTACGGAGAAACTGTTCTTACAAAAGTTGGAAGAATTCTTTCTTGAAAAAAAATTATATTAATGCTTCATGGCCGTATTTACGTTGTAAAAGGATCTCGTGTAATAACTGGCAGCAGTTGGTGTAAAAGAAATTCATAGAAATCACTTGCTTCTATCTGTCGCTTGCGCGACAGTTGCTTCTGAAACTCTGAACGCGAATTCGGAAGCGTTTAAACTTTCTCGCTATCTTACGGCTAAAATCACTTTTCTCCTGAAACCTTCGCGAGCCAAGCATTCTCCACGATTTTTTCTCTTTTCTTTCCTCCTTTTTCCAACAAATTCAGCTCCGACCTGGCCGTTTTCGAACGAAAGTAACGCGAAACGCGTAATATCGGTAATTTCGGCGTCTAAGACGTACCGCGATGTGAAGTTCCATCGATTTCTCAATTGTTTGTTGGTGTGTGCGTGTACAGACAGCCAAGAAATTTCTTCCTACGAGAGGAATGTCAGCCATGCGCGAAGAATATGGCTTTCGAGTCTCGGCGTATTTTACTTTTGAAAGACGTTGTCGCGCTGCGAATACCTTAAATGGTATTCTTAAGGTATTTCTCCTCGTACAGTCGCTGGCGAAATTATAGCGCGCGGAAGCGCAACAGACTGCGTGTCAGCACACGCGGCAGAGAAGGAAACTTTTTGGAAAAACTGAACGCAGTAGCCCGCCTTTCGCGTAAGCTCGCGTGCCTTGTGATATATCTGTGCACAGCGCACACTCGCACACGCGTACTTTACATTCGTCTAGAAATTTATGGAACTGCATATTTTGTATTTCTCTGTCTCAAAAATGATACCGGTCAGATCTGCCCATTTTTTAATAGAAAATTTCCAACGCAGATTTTTTACATCGTTGAAAATCTCGTAAGAAAATTTTCGCTGTAATAAACGAAAATGTCATCTTGTTGCCAAACGCGATTGTTTCATTGTGTTAAATATGGAAACGTTGAATCCTTGAATCCTGCATCATTTTCTAACACGTAGCTAAAATTTGAAGAAATTAATTTGGTTGTCCTAAATAAGTTGGTGGTGTAATTATTGGATTCCAGTTGTTTCTTAATTAAAAAGAAGAAAAAAGGTCTACGTACACTGTAAATATTTTTCAAATTCATTTTCCCTTTAATTACGTTTAATTACATCTTTATTTATCTTTCACGTACTTACGATATAGTGGTATAGCCACTTGTTAAAATCTTGTAATTTTTACACATTTTGAAATATTCATGAAATTCTGCACTCATTGAGCAGAGAATATTAGTATTTTAATAAATGCTATATTCGTTAACAAAGTATCGTTCATTCCGTTAAGTTCAATACACAACCTCGTATGAAGTTTATTAAAAGCTTTCCATAGCATACGAACAATTTCATCAAACGCATGTCAACGCCAATAACACCGGCAGAGACAACAATTTTAGAGAAAATAAATTATATCACTTCATATAGAACTCTCCATAACATTCAGAACTGCCGCGAAGGATTATTATTATGGAACAATCGAATCTCTCCGTGATCGAACGTTTCAAATTGTCCTTATCGATCCTCGCAACCCATAATTACCTCTAGTGTTTATTTATTAGCCAACAATTATCTCTAGTGTTTATTTGTTCAAACATGGGGAATACAGTGGCTTGCGAAAGAGTTGGAACATTTACAGAAACCCTCTATGGATGATCGTGCGTGTCATACGGAATTTTTCGATTTTCACTTTGACTCTTTCGATTTCATCGACAGCGCGATAACAGTTAAATTCTTGTTTTAACGATTGAAATTTAAAGGAAAACACCGGAGGAAACTCAGCGGCATTGTAACGGGTAGATAGGAAATTTTCGTGCTTCTGTAGGAAATTTGAGAACGCAAAATTGTATAGAAGTTTGTTCGTATTTTCTATAGAAATTTCTACAGCTTCGGATTGACATGCTCCAAATCTGATCTAATCTAATGCACATTTTGAACGTTAAGCGGATTAAATTGAAAGATAATACGTTCTTACTTACTTTCACGAAACTTGGTTTTCTAAGAAAGATTTAGAAATCTCAGTTTTTCATAAAATACTCTGCATCGATTTCTCGAGACTCTCCGATTGATTTTTTTGTTTGGACTAAAACTAAGCTTCCAAAAGCAAGAAGTTGAACAGCAATAATTG